GATAAGCGGAAGTGAAGTAGAATGTAGCCAAACGACCTGTCAGTTAGTGTAACTATATACCATATCAACGGAAGTACCCTAAGCTACAATATCGAACCAATGTTTTCTATTTGGAAAAGGCGCAGAGAGTAAATACAATGATTATATTCTCCTATCAAAGTTACCCGCATTATCAAAGATACCCTGTTTTACGGTATCTATAGTTTCTTCTTCTTCTTATTCGCATTTCAAGCTTATTGCATAGCCCATTTAATAGCTTATTGCGTGCTCTCAACTTAGTGTTCTAAATGCACTTCCACAGTTATTAGTTGAGAGCTTTCGATGCCATTACCAATGCATGAATTTGTATATTGTGTGGCAAGCACAATGATACTCTATGCCCAGGGAAGTCGAGAAAATTTCCAACCCGAAAGATATACTCGACCGGACCGGGGGAATGGAACCCGCCGCCTCCGGCTTGGTAATACCGTGCCTTTACTGACTAGGCTATGAGGCCCCCATATCTATAGTTTACACCTCTGCTTTTGAGGACTGCTTGGTTAATGTTAAAGCAGCCATCAATAGCGCATCATAAGTATAGTCGCTATCTAGGGGAAATGGCTCTAATGTTGGCCTATGGATCTAAGATTGGGCCCATCAAAACACTAAATGTGATTATTTAAGAATCCTTAGCTCTTACCGCAGATCTCAGAATAATGCACGGAGTTCTCTCAAAATCCCTGACGAAATTCTTTCACGGAATGCAGACGATTTTTTTTACTTTAAAATCCCAGCTGCATTTCTTTTAATATTATATTCAAGATTCCCTCAAAATAACCGTCCAGATAATCTCAGATTGCTCGATGAACTGGGATGAGATCAGCCCATCTACGATCAACAATTTATGGAAAAAAAACTGAAAAACTGCGAGCGGAATTCAGTTGATTTCGGCTTTTTCAGGCGAATCAGCTACTAATACATCTTTGCAGACATCATTCGCAAGTGTGGGAGAGCATCCAAAGGAACCGCAATTCAATCAGGCTATCCAATTCTTGGACTACTTGATTCGTTTCGTGCAGATGTATGTAAGCCGTCTCAAATCACTGAGAACTAAAATGGTCGAGAATGAATGGCGTAAGAGAACATTGCAACTACTGTATTTTAATATTCATTATGCAAAAATTTATGTAGAAATTATTATCAATAGCCTACAAACTCCGTATTTGATCCACAGCTGACTTTTCACATTACATCCATTTCCCCTATATAGGGACCCATCGCTAAAAATCTGCTATTTATCAATTTTATCTAGATGAACGCGTCATTGGGACGGTACTAATGGATATTTTTGGTCGCTATTGAAAATTTAGTCGATTGCTGAATTTATGTATGGGCCCAAAAGAGGGTCATTTAGGCCGACATTACATCCATTTCCTCTATATATATAAAAAATGATTTTTTTTTGTCTGTCTGACCCTTATAGACTCGGAAACTACTGAACCAATCGGCGTGAAAATTTGTATACATTGCGTGTGGCAGATCATCAAAAATCGATTTCAAGGCCACGTACGATACTATTCACCGTGAAGAGCTACACTGCCTATAATCCCATATCAGTCCCATATGGAAAAAGTAGGCATTGAGAAAATGGCACTTGAAGCTAAGTAGTGCAATCTCCATGTACATAATAAAATAAAATCATAGTCAATTATTCGATATTGTTTTCAAGTTAAAATCAGTTGCAATGCAGCATGTATGATTTATTATATCAGTGAAAAATATGGTGATTCAAAAAGCAGAACTATAACTTGACCTCTGGATGGTTGAATTTCACGATGGGACTGATATGCGATTACTTTGCTTATTGGAGGCGAAGCAGCCCCAGACTGAAAGCCTCCTTAATAAAGGAAATTTAACTTAATTTACTTTGCATGATGGGACAACATCAAGTAAGTTGTTTTCACATTTTTCATGATCAAGTCCATAGTTTTATCACATAATATGAAAGTAGATGCCAATTGATAGTGGAGAGTGTTGTTATCTTAAAATTAACGCAAATCCATATCGGAATGATATGCGTTTATAGGCAGTATAGACAATTCATGGCTTCGATGGATGATGTACAGTGTTGTGTGATGATATCGAAGTCGTATGAAACACATCAATGAACTCTTTTACAATACTCTTTTTTGCCTCGTGTTCAACATTGCGCTAGCAACATGGCCCCCGTACTATGTACAAGACGCTGATAAGACCAGTAGTTCTCTACGGGTATGTGATAAACTGTCCATATAAATATAACAGTTACATGCTTGCTAGATGGCCTATTCAAATAGAGCTGTTATCCGTTTATGGGTAGTGACGAAGATGCTCGAGAAGGACCTGCAAGCACTAGGAGTTTTCGAATGACGCGTGCTTAGGACCAACTTTGGCAGAGTATATTAAAATGGCATATGGAGGACAAAAATGAACCACGAGCTGCCACAACTCTATGGCAAACCCAGTTTCTAGAAAATCGCTAAAGCTAAAAGTAAACAATGGACGGGATACGTTGACCGGATAGGGGCGGGATACGATAACCGGACAACAATCCTGCAAAAATGGTGTTTGCCTTGAATCATACCAACCGGTTGGTTTGATCAATTGAAGCAAGATCTAGGACACTCAAGAAACTGGAGACATACAGCCACAAACCGGATTAGTGCATTGTGCAGCAGATGAAGTCTCACATAGACTGAAATACGTTGAACCAGGAAACGTAAGGTAGGTATCATGCGAAACCATATCCTAGTATTAGGGTGACCAGTGACTTTTTTATTTTGAAAATTTCCCGGTTGTTGATATTTAACATAAAACGAAATTGTACGCATTTTTTAAACCGCGGCCAACTGTGAATTTTCAGTGATTATTTATGGGAAAAATAAAAGCAGCATTACAGAAAGTGTTTTCTAAAGCTACAGGAAAAATTCAACTCTATGAGCCACTTAATGTATTCAAAACAATTTATTGGTCTTTCGAGATATTTTGATAAATCGTATTCTACCACTTTTTATGCTAGATACATCTTATAATTTCAAAGACCTAGAATTTATTGAGTGACAGAGATTAAGGTCACTGACCCAAATGCTATCTGGATGAATAAGTTATAAGACAGAATTGTGAAAAAAAAAGAGATTTAATTTAAAAAAAATGTTTCAGAAAAATGAACTTGATACAAATGAAAATTAGAGCAAATTAATAGTGATATCGGATAAAGAAAATGTGTATTCACTCCATTGTCTATACTAACATAAACATTAACCTTTCAGTACTCGCGCTGATGTACAAAGTTAAACTCAAAAAAAAATGTGAAACCTACTGACGTTTGAGCTCACTCAAAGTGAGACTAAACATGGTTCATGAAATTTAATACCCACACCAATAGACCAATACTTGAAAAATAAAATTACTGAAAGATTATTTACTAAAAAGATAGATTCCCAAGACTCTGGGGCTTTGAAATTTGTAGGGTCTGAAAATGGAACTTTTCTTCAAAATTTGGGATTAATAACAATTTTCGTGATGCAGGATTTGGAGAAAAAATAGTTAAAATGTGAGAGTTTAAACTTTTCACAGATTTGAAAAAAAAATCATATTTATTAAATATTCGTGCAGTCATAATTGTCAAGGCTCTAAGACTTGGAAGGATTTTAAAGGTTAAAACAAATTACAGAACAATCGATGGAATTTAAAAGTATTCAAAGTGTTGATTTCAAACAACTATCGAGAAAGATTCCCACACAGCTTTCGAAGGAGAAGTTCTAGAATTATTCTGACATGAAGTCCTTAGAAATTGTTAGAAGAATTTGGAGGGATTTCTGAAGATTGCAAGTTCTAAATTAAATTATTAGGTAATTTTTCAAGAATCCCAATAGAATTATGATGAGAATTCAACAAGACACAGAGTTCTAAGAATGTTTTGGCGATAATTTCAACCCTAGAGTGAATGATTCATCAAAGAGCTCAAATAAAATTTATTGTAAAAAAATAGCTAATAATTAGAAATAAATTCTTTAAAATACTGCAAGGGGTTTCTAAATAATTCCAAATTTCGAAAGATTTATGCTAGAGTTAAAAACAAATTTTGAAAAGGATTTCAATGCAATCAAAGTCTCCGAATACGTTTAAGGGAATTCTTAGACGGATTCCAAACAATTTCTTAGAAGGGGATTCAAGAAAATTCCAAAAAGAATTCAACGGTAATTATTACGCAGAGTGTTTTCGGGTTAATTTTAAAAGAATTCTATAATAATTCTGAGCAGAATTCCAAGTTCATTCTTAAAATTTATATCATGAGAATTTTGAATAAAATTAAAACCCGGGAAAAGAATAGTTCAGTTTCAGTTTTTACAAAAATGTATTTCTTAAGTCCAGCATCTTCAATATTTTGTTTTAAGGCCCATGCATTTTATAATTATTGCTGAGTGATTAAATTCTAAAAACAATAAGGCTGAAGAAAATTATGCAGCAAACAGAGAGAGACATTCATTTGTTAAAAAATCACTCTGTTTTAATGGTTTATTCTGAAATTCTGGTATGATTAATTAATTTTTCCCGGTTCTCTCATTGGATTCTCGGTTTTGCCGGTTACTTTTCAAATTCCCGGATATTTCCCGGTATACCCGGTTCTCCCGGTTTGCTGGCCATCAACTTTCACCAAATTAAATTTTGAAAAAAATATAAATTTAATGACTGTATCTATTGATGAAGTTTCCCAAATGACTCATTATTATTCTTGTGGCAACAACATTGAGATGCGCATAGAATATAACAATTTGTTTACGCATAATAAATCTAATCAAAGCCACTAACTGAAGGAAAACAAACCCATTTCCTAGAAACGAAGCTTAAATTAGAACAGTGAAGGTGTGCGTGATGTCGAGCATGAGTGAGTGTCCCGTTTTCTGATGCGTTCAAAATGATGTTTACGAAAAAGTTTTATGTGTGCTCTGATTGTGCGCCGGTGTGATCCGTTCACTTACCTTCGGTTGTATACGGTACGTGTCCACACATTCCACCTTGAGCGGAACGGTTTCAACTTTAAAATCGTACCCGTACGAACGCACGATGAGCAACGTATGCAGTGGCACATTGATGTAGGGAACATCGTCTAGAATCAGAAATGCATGTTAAATTGCATGGTTTTCCCATAGTTCCATCGTTATCTATACGTACCAGGCTTCGTGCCCATGAAGTATGCCATAATGCATCGTAGCACGGCCTGATGCGAAACGACCAGGACGTCTGTGTTGCCTAGCAGCGCCTGCACCACACTGTCAACACGTTGCAACAGATCCAGATAGGATTCCCCATGGGGATAGCGATACTTGAACTTGTCCTGATCGCGCCAGGCAAACTCCTGCGGGAAGCGCTCCTGAATCTCCTCGTACGTAAGGCCCTCGCAAATACCGGCATTGATTTCGTTCAGATCCTTGATGGCAGCCCGGGGGCCGGGGATGTTCTGTACGGTACGGATCGTGCGACGCAGCTCCGAGGTCCAGATCTGCAATGTCGAGGGGAAAAAATAAGTTTCGGGATGGGAAAAAATAAAAAGGTAAACCACTGATACTCACAAGCTTAGGACTAGGGCAGTCTGGTGCTGAACCGGGTCCTCCCAGTTGCCGAGCCAAGCGTTCGGCGTACTTCATGCCACGCGGCGATAGATCAGCATCGCCACCGATTCTACCCAAAACATTGTACTCCGATTCACCATGCTGGAAAGGGAGAAAAAGATGCGAACCATTATCACTTCATGTCCGCTATCGTAACTATACGCTGGATATAACACTAAGTCTAAGATAATTTCAAACAGCTGTTCACCATCCGAAAGTCCTTGATCCTAGGTTGGAACTTAAAGAACCCAAATCCCATATGCTACGTGAACTTCAATACAAACCTACATCAGCACTAATGGAACCACTGGAAAACATCATTCTGAAGGGGAGCTGTATTGAGGGCCCCCAAAAATTCAAGGCATACCAAAAAAACTGCTCATGATCTAATTAAAGAGTTTATTCGGGATCAAACAGCCAAATCATAAAAAAGTAGAAAATACTAAAATAAGCAGTTTCTACGGCTAATGGTTTTGATTTGATTTGTAGGGTAAACGCACCTATAATAGTGAAGGTACATTTGTGCAATATGTTCCTATAGTGGCTTATGGAGTCTCCATAAGCCACTATAGGAACACATTGCACTAACGTACTTCCACTATTGGTGCTTTTACCGTAATTATTCTCATTGTTATCATTTCAACTCCGATAGGATGTACCAGTTATGGCTATAAGTTCCTATTAGGGTGTGTTTCAATTATGACCTATGGGGGTGGTCCAGTACAAATTGAATAAAGCATTCGATACATTTTATGGAATGGATTAAATGGAAGATAACCTTTTATGCTGCTTTATTTAAGTATTCCGCTAACAACCCAATTTCATTACTTCATTATGATGGCTACCAAACCTTTGGAAATATTTCCTTATTAGAGATTTGAATAGATTTTTCTCCTTTACTTTACTTTACTTAAATCTTTGCTTATTATTAGTTAGATAGGTTCCAATTCTACACGTTGTAGTTTCAATTTTACACCTGAGATCTTGACATTTTTACCTAGGGGATGAGTACTTAAGGGGGTTAGGTTTTTGATAAGTCTTTAGTGGGGATGACACTGGTGAAGACTGCACATTGTAGTCGAAATACGTATCTGTCATGGTTACCAAAATTAATTAAGTGGCATTAAATGGATCACGATATAAATCTAAAAGAAGGCTTACTTAATCTCTTAATGTTTTCAGCAACTTCATGGTCCAGTTTTTACCTTGATTTACTCCATCATACAAGAACAGGTCCTTGGCGTGGCGATTTTCTCACCCTTATAAATTCTTTTTTGACTGTTTCCAAACTCAACGCTAGGGGCAGAAATGTACCCAGTTCTCCTACATTTTACATATGAAACACTTGTCTTTAATGTCATTATACCTTTTGTCCCTTGAGGACATGTTGAGACCCAGCTTCGCAAGAAAATTATTCCGGATAATTCGCTTAACCAAAAGTTCGTGGCCGGATTCCCCGGGTAGGAAATCGTAAAAGCAGCGCTTTCACCTTCTAAATTATGTAAGTTAATTCCATCTCAATGGCTATAGCAGCAATATCACAATACTAAAACTTCACTGAGAAGCTAATTTGCCGTGATAACCAGGTTTACAATGAAGCCACACTATGCTGTAAAGGAAACCCTTGTCTACGTATCTTTGAATCATTATTCAATCACAAAAGTGCTTCTCCAAGCAATAAAAAACCGTACAAGCAAGGCCATTATCCAAGACAACATATCAAGAAGACTGGCAACTCTTCCATTTTCTCAAACGACCGGCATGAGGCAGGCACAATCGCGTCATCTGCTGCTCAAAGGTAAATGCTCCGAATGAATTGGATAGCAAAGGATCCAACCTCAGAAGAAAGGTTTGTGCATTTGCTCATTTTTCTATGCGTTGCTTCCACCTTCGCTCGAGCACAGCGCTACTGTGTCTGTCGCTTGGATTCAGACAAAGTTGCCAGTCTTCTTGATATGTTGTCTTCGCCATTATACTAAATTTTCATTTAGTTGATTCTCTGAGCTAATCAGGCTTTAAGAATACAATAAGAAACAAGAACTAAAAGTATTCAGAAAAAATCATCCTCTTCTCTTAATTTTTTAACAAATTATTGCATTTACTCAAAGGCTCTCCAGTGCGATTGATTTTTGTTGGACAAAGCTGGATCGAGCATATGCACAGTGGGACCATTCTGGAAAAAATACGGTCAACACAATTTTCTCACCTTTCCCAATGTTTTAGCGTTTAGGGATGGTTCATTAATTATGTCACGCAAATTTGGCCCATTTTCAACCCCCCGTTTGTCACATTTTTTGTATGGACCTTAATTTTTTTTTTTGTATGACTCGTCACAGTTTTTAAAACCCCCCTTCTCCCTAAATGTGTGACATAATTAATGGACGACCCCTTACGTGTCTTCGAAGAATTTTGTTGAAATGATGTTTTGTTTCTTCTTATATCTATCTATCTATCTATCTATCTTCTTCTTCTATCTATATATATATATAAATGAATTTCTGCCTGTCTGTCTGTCTGTCTGTCTGACCCTTATAGACTCGGAAAGTACTGAACCGATCGGCGTGAAAATTTGTATGCAGGGGTTTTTGGGGCAGGGAAAGGTTCTTATGATGTTTCGAGACCCCTCCCTCATCTGTAAAGGGGCGCTCCCATACAAGTGAACGCTCACGAGTCGTAAGATCGCTGATTGTGACGCCCTGAAAGCAAAATTGACAGATTTTATGACATTCAAAGTGTTTTTATGTTACTTCATACGCGCAGTTAGCGATTTTCAGAGTTGGTTGGAAATGCTAACATGAAGCTTTAGTGTGATAATTTATTAGCTAGAGAATGATCTTTTAGAAGAGGGTAGGTGGATAGTTCCGTTAGAGTACGGCAGTATGAAAATTGAATAGAAGTTGAAAATGAGCGAAGGGTCATTAATGCGACAGTTTTTAAAGATAGACGCACTTCTTTTGCCTAACCCGTACGATGTACGCGGAGACTTGAAGTATGTCTCCAAGTCTACAGGCCTGTAGACTTGGAGACATACTTCAAGTCTCCGCGTACATCGTACGGGTTAGGCAAAAGATGTGCGTCTATCTTTAAAAACTGTCGCATTAATGGCCCTTCGCTCATTTTCAACTTCTATTCAATTTTCATACTGCCGTACTCTAACGGAACTATCCACCTACCCTCTTCTAAAAGATCATTCTCTAGCTAATAAATTATCACACTAAAGCTTCATGTTAGCATTTCCAACCAACTCTGAGATTTTATGAATCAAACACATAATTTACACCCTCTTCTTGTTACTTACAAGTCCAACAAATCATTATATCAAATAATGATTGCATAATTCCGAAAAATATTTTTTATAGCAAGTGAGTGGAAGCAACCCTGCAGCATACATAAAGTAGCAATTTCAGGTGAATTAAGGGGCTAATTTCTGAGATTTGTATAATTGAACATTCGAAGTGATAGTGCATGTGGCGACCATTTGTGGACACTACAAGTAATCACCTTAAATTTGCAGACGCAATTAGGTTTAACATCTATTAAGGGACCCACATAACCATTTGGAGGTTAAATTTTACAACTACAGTGCCTTCCCGTTTTTGGCAACATATGATTTTTGTCTTCTTCACTTTCTTGAAAATCCATCCAACGCTTAATTCCATTTATGATATCACTAGACCCCTCTTTGGGGATCCTATCTACTTGACCTTTAATGAAGAATTCTCCAGATAGCACTAGCACAAATTTAAAGAGAGAAATAGTTGATGAGGTAGTGTTGCCAAAAACGGGAAGGCATTGTAGTAACAACATCTAGCATCTACGGAAATGGATTTTTATCAACCCTCAGGATCTCAGCTCAACTCAGAAATGTGCTAACACCCAGTGGGAGCTGAATTTATACTACGTGGCGCCCATAAATTACGTAACGCTTATAAGGAGGAGGAGTCACCTGTATCGTTACGAATTGTTACATAGGAGAGGGGAAGTAAAGCTTTGCGTTCGTTACAAAGAGGACAAAATATGAAACTAACGATTTTTGACGTAGAACTACGTCTTTGTGGACTATATACTGGGGTGCAAATCATAAAAAAAATGTGTGATGAAATAGTGTTAGGTTTTGAACGCTTCTAACTTTGTCATTTATAGATAAAATTAAAATCAAAATACGCTAATCGATAGGATACCACTCTACGAATCTTCTGAAATAAATACTTTTCCAATTTTCCAAAAAAAAACTTTTGAAAAATCTACAAATAATATTTAGCACTGTCATCATTATCACTTGGTTTCATATCATTCTGCTTGAACCTGAAAAGTTATAAAACAGCGCTGCTGTCGTGCCTCTGCTCATTTCCGCTTCGGAAGGTGTGGCAAACAGCAAGAGGTGGATATTTTCCCTTTCACTCTGCCGTCGTGCTGAACATTCTCGCAGGCACTGTGACCGGATGATATCGGGCAGGTGTGGGATGATCTTTGTCAATGTCGCACTGAAGCTCATTTTTGTATCGGACCACGTAGTGAAGATCGAACAATCGGTCCTTCTCAGGACCACAATTGTTTACAGAAAGAGTTATATTCCTTGGATAAATCAGCGGTATTCTCCGATTTTCAGTGAGACTACAATATTATTTCCCACTTGGGTCCCTTTAAATACACTGAAACCTCCGTTTATGAAGTTATTTTTTACGCAGTATTCAATTTACGTCCCTCTTTTTACGAAGCCAATCCCAAAACACGAGTTTTATTTACAAAGTAAATTCCAAATAACGAGTTTTTCTGCGATTTTGGGAAACTGGGAAATATAGTGAAATACCGTACAATAATGGGTATTTTTGGAATCAGGGTGACGTGTAAGAACCGGTATTCAATATTTGACGCCATTTTGAAACCCTACCGGTTACAGAAAAACTTGGAAATTGTTAGTAATTTCCATTTAATTCCACTACCTTATTTGCTTATCCTAGACAGATACGCGTATTTCGTCAACAATGTGCAGACATCTTCAGTGTCTTGTACTAATACTCGACTGAAGGTAGTACAAGACACTGAAGAAGTCTGCACATTGTAGACGAAATACGCGTATCTGTCAAGGATAAGAAAATAAGGTAGTGGAATTAAATGGAATTTACTAATCCTTCTCTCTCTCTCTCTCTCTTTACACAGGTATTATTATTATTATTATTTAGCTTTATTTAGGAGGCTTTCAGCCTTAGGCTGGTTCGCCTCTAATTTACACAGGTATTCCACTAAGACGCCCACATTCTTCAGGATTTGGAAATTCTGTCAAATATCCAAAATGTAAAATAATATGTAATTTTTTTTGGAATTGGACGACGTGTGGGAACCAGAAATCGATGTCTGGCGCCATTTTTAAATCCAAGATGGCCGCTTCCGGTTAGAGAAAAGCTTGTATATTCTGTCAAATACCCCACAATATGGATATTTTTGGAATCGGTGTGACGTGTAATCAATGTGTGACGCCATTTTGAAATACAAGATGGTGGCTTCCGGTTACATAAAAGCTTGAAAATTCTGTCAAATACCCCACAATATGGGAAATTTTTGGATCAGCCTGACGGGACCAAAAATCGATGTCTGACGCCATTTTGAAATCCAAGCTAATTTGTTGACCAATTGATGACCAACAAGCTCAGATATATTGGTTGACTAACGTATAAAATTGAATCAGAAGTTCAGAACTAAACCTTATGATTAAACGTGAAATGAACATTATTTGCATTAGCAGAAAAAATATGAGAAATTAAAAAAATATTTGCCCCTTTGCCCACCCCCTCAAAATCCGGCCCATGGGAAAGGGGGTTAAAAATTTAAATTGTTAGCGTTACGTAATTAATGGCCACCACCTATGGCCCAAAATCATAGAAATACTCTTTTATTTTAGTCATTTTTTCTCAACTTGCAAAAATGTAAGATCAAGCGTTGAACAACCCCAAGTTTACAACTCTATTTAAAATTTGAAATGAATAACCATCCTCAAACTATAGGTACCGAGCAATTAAGTTGTTTGCAACTAACGAAGTTTATGTGATTGAGAAATATTTCCCTGACTTTGAATGAAATTCCCTGAGATTCCCTGATTTCTCAAACCCAAAAATGAGTTCTCTGATATTCACTGTTTTCAGGTAGTCGACACTCTTTAATAGTAAAACATGCCATCGAAATACTCAATTCCTATACTAGAATTAATTTAGAATTCAACTGATACTGATACTGACTCATCTTTGAGTTCAGTTTACTCAAATTCTGCAAAAACGAGGGTCATGCAAGACTGAGTAAAATTTTACTCACATATGCGTAGCTGTCACTCATATTCTTTTTTTTTTACTTTGAATGATCTATATTTCTTGTATTCTTTTGGTTTACATGTACGAATTTTCAAATGACACAGATGCGTCTTTTCAACTTTAGTTATTTTGAAATTTTAATTATTATTTACTGTTCCTAGTCCTATCAGGCCTGTTAGAGTATGACCACCTTGGTGGGATTGGTTTGTTTGTCACTCATATTCGAGCAGCTTCGTCATATTTTCGAATATGAGTCAGTCTCAGTGGCCGTTCAAGTCCAGTATTTCCGAAAGCTACTAAATTTGACTATTTTTAACTAATTTTCAAGGGTCGTGTATCCTACGTATGTTCGCCTAAAAGCAGGCAACCAGCACCAATTTTTCCCGGCTAGCATTGATAACAACTACCTTCTACTCATAAACACCGATATTGCCAACTCGCTACTCACCCGACTCAGGTAGAACGTTTGCTGTCGTATCACCGGACTGGCGAGTACCCCTAGAATGGCAGTCTGAATAGCACCGCGAACGCCTCGTGCCGTTACCGAGTGATACATCGAGTCCTCCGAGTTGTTAACCGTAATCAATGGGCCCTCCAGCGGGGAGCACGGTTCGAACCGGGACGTATAGGTTTCGTTGTTCTCCTTGATCCGTCGCTCCCAATCGATGTTCTGGTCCAGCTGGTGGTAGAACTGAACCGTGTCGTTGATGTTCTCCTCGAGGCATTTGTCGTTGCAGCTGAACTCGATCAGCAGATGGTGGTACAACTGTTCACCGCAAAAGTTGGTCAACAGTTGACGCGATTGCCGCGTCAGGTGCATTCCATCGATGATCTTAAAACAGTCAAACAGAAAGTCAGATTACATTTAATTTAATCCTTTTTAGCGGTTAGTCGGTCGGTCGAACGATACTCACTGCGACATCGTTGTCCTCTTTGAAGAACACCGAGATCTCATGCAGGGTGTCGGCAGTGGCATTGCCATCCACGTTGAAAACTGTAAGACAAACAAATTCTATCAATTTTAGGTCTAAATCTATAGTTAGGGTGCATGAGCCAGTAATGGGAGGAACTTGGACAATTTATTTATTAACTCTTGGAGCACCAAACTAAAATCAGATTTTCACTATTTTTGTAATATCTTCGGTAATTTTCAACGGATTTAGGATGGTTTTATCTGGTTGGAAAGGATATTAGATGCCACGTTTTGAAAAAAAAAGTGTCGAATTCATTTTCAGCTTGGTGCGGGAAGTGTTAAAAAATAGATAAAAGATATGCATCTAATTTTTATACGTCAATCTATAGAAATATATTACATTGTGATTAAATTGTGATTAAGTTCTGCGTCATTTTTGGGTTGATGTTAAGTTTCAAGTATGCAAATTAACTTAACTTTAGGAGAGTTACATATGAAAAATGGTTTTCTACCATTATTCTGGCATAAACCCTATACCGGCACACCACTATTACTGGAACACCTGCTGCGTAAGGCAATGTATCTTGATAATGCCCGACGTCTGAAGCTCCATTCGATCTATTGATAATTTCGTCTAGTCATCACAAAATGGAAAGACGGTTGATAAGAAGACGTGCCTTGCACGCGATTCGTTGAGAAGTATGATAATTAATCAACCAAGCACCGTTTGATAAGCGCCGAGCCTGGCATGGTGTGACGCAGGTGTTGATGGTGCTAATTATTGCAAGCGCTTGAGTGCAAATATGGTTTATTTTCGACTGTTTAGTTGACATTTTTTTGGTTCTCGCGTGACGATGGACAATCAGACGAAAGGATTTAAATTACCGGCTGCCAATATGGGATCGGTAATCGCCTTAACCTTCCAACGGCACGAAATGGAAAATGAGCCCTTACACGCGCTGGTGTCGAATGCTGCACTCGTTTCGATGATAGGAACAGAGTTTGGCATAGGCATATCAATGTAGCAAAGTCGCAAAACAGGAGGACGTGCCCACCGAAGACGACGATGTTGCACAACAGTGACGTCCGCTACTACTAAATAAAAATGTCTGCTATTTTTTGCGAGTGCAATAAACATTTTATTGCCAATTTTGAATTGAACATGAAGGCAACAAACAATTTTCATGTGAGCTGAATGGACACGGTAGGTTACAATCATGGATCAATGGATCAAAAAATCGATTAACTTGATTCGCTTTCTACCGCGACCTAGGCGGTGGATTGGCAATATTGATACATAAAATCAAAAGATCGTTAATCTTCGATTAAAGATTGCAAAAATATCAATTAACAGTAACCTTGTACCATCGGTGCCGTAACAGACTTCTAAAAATTGAAACTAGAACCTTAAATAAGAGTCAATTTTGAAGTAGTACGTCATTCGTTGTTTCATCAAAACTACGTTTCCCTAAGTCGTCTACCGCAGCGTCGGAGTTTATAAGAGTCCCGCAAAGAGTGCAGCCAATTGAACTGTCAGGCGGCGTACCAAACGGCAAAACGCGTAAAGTAAATAAGCATTATTGTTTCCAGAGCCGATGGACTGCAAATATTGCATTCATTACCGAACATATTTCATGCAATTTTTATAAAAAATCATTACGCTTTATTTAGTGTATTTGACCATTGATTAGTCATAGCAAGCTGCAGTTTACTCGTGACTGATATTAACAAAAAAAAATGTCCATGTAATCTGTTTATACCAGTCGATAGAGTTGGTCACCCAAATTATTTTTACCAACGATTTTCACCTGAAGCGTCGATATGTTTGTGCTGATTAATTTTTAACTTTAAAGAATTCCTAGACATTTTCAGTCTTCAACTAAATTGTTCAGAAATTAATCATGAGGAGCTTTATGAAACATTGTAAGCCCCACATATCATATCCAACTTAGTTTCGACGACGCCGGGATTTTATGAGGCATAAAATCGCTAATCACGGAAAGGGATCAAGGGAAGCCGTAGGTCTTTGGTCCATGAATTGGTGGATCTATAGTTAGTTCAGGTCCAGGTGTCGGAGCCGCCTCCCTGGCGTCGGTAGCATTGGTAGTCAGTACGGAAAACAAGATCGACGGAAAATATATCAAGGAAAAAAATAATTAACATAATACCTACTAATGAACTAAGAAAAATAAAATGCATTTTTAAACCCCAATAAGACTTTCGTGTCCGGATTTTGTCGAGTTCAACTTTTAGTCCTTTTTTAAGTTTCCGCATTTTTCCCGATATAAATCTCAATTATTTCCCGTTTACAAAAGTGACTAGCAACTAGTAACTTTTTCTGGCCGACATTTGTAAAACATTATCTTCTGTTGCAACGCTGCAGGGACAATTGTGGCATAAAGCTGAAAGTACATTTCAACTAAATAGTTCGCTTGATATATTCGATTACAACCACTTGGTTATTTCTACACAGTATAGTGCATTCTATGGCTTGTTTAAAAGATACAAATATAAATGCTATTATCGATACGCATAATACTAGGAAACTCATTTGAAATATTTCTGCAAATTTTCAGCAATAAACAAATTAGAAAATCAAAAATTAGGACAAATAATCTATTAACAATATTATAAAGCTCTAGAGACTTTTTAATCTAAATATTTGAAAATTGATCGATTTTATATACTACTAGAGTAAACGTACCTATAGTGGAGGTACGTTAGTGCAATTTGTTATAGATGCAATAAGTCACTATAGGAACATATTGCACTAACGTACCTCCACTATAATTGCGTTTACCCTACTAAAGCTTAAGTCACTTATATATGCTCATCACAATATGAGCCGTTTCAAAAAAGTTGGGCATGATGGAAGCGGAAAGAAGAAAATTTATTTTGGACACCCAGGTCAAAAATTCGACGTGGTCGGGTTCAAAAATCGCGAAACAATCGATCTGGCTAAATCTACCGTGTGCGACGTTCTTAAACATTTTCGGGAAAGTAAAACTATCACTCGAAAGGACCAGCCCAAGCAACATTGCACGTTTTATTGAGGATTTATAGCATGCTACAAGTCCAAATCATGGTCTACAGAACCCTCATAAAACCCAAATTGTTACTTGGGAGCGTACGCGTTGCTGTGGAACTTACGATCGCCAATTGCGTTGGAAAGTATTGAGAAGAATCAGGGCTAACCCAGGACTCTCGGATTATGATATATCCAAAACATACATAGCCAGTCAAAGTACCGTACGGAGGATTCGTCTGCGAGAAGGCTATAGTTTTTTTCATGCAAGTAAGCAGCCAAATCGGACACTGAAGCAGAACCTGGTGGCCAAAACGTACGCTCGGAAGATGTGTAGCAAGGTTTTAACGAAAGACCAAGGATGCTTAGAAATTAGAAATTATACAAGCAAACGCATTATGCCATACATCAAAGCAAACAAGGGACCTGTGAAGTTTTGGCCAGATTTCTCAAGCTGCCATTATAGTCGACAGACACTTCAGTAGTACCAGGACAATGGGGTGAATTTCATCGTCATGAACTTCAATCCACCCAACTGCCCCCAATTCCGTCCAATAGAAAAATATTGGGTAATCGTCAAGCAGAAGCTAAAGAAGAGTGGCAAGGTAGCTCTGCATGCTGCATGCTGCAGAGATGCAGAGATGGTGGAATAAAATGGCCAACCAGGTTGACCAACAAAGTGTTCAAGAAATGATGAAGGGTATCCAACGAATATTTCGTTATTTCAACTAAACCATAATTGAATAATTTTATTTTTATGTTTAAAAGAAAGTGCAATAAATAACCTTTATGAAGATTAGTTAACATTTTGATTATGTCTAACCAGTTTCGAAATACAGCTGATCTCATGCGTCCAGATTCTGAGTGACCCAAGCTTTATTTCTTGATCTTCAATTAACCAATTTTTGAATATTTTGATAATTTGTAATAACATCAAGGATCTTTAATATGCACCATATTTCAATAAAATCCGTTCACTACGGAAACAATTCCAAATTTAACTAAAATTACACAAACTTCTTACAGACTGATTTCATCTCAAATCCAATATGAAAATTTTAGAAATATATGTATCAACAGTGTTTTGAAAGAACCCTCCAACCTCCTCTAGCTCATATATAATGAAAGTGACTTGGCTCTGTACAGTTTATTCTATTAGGCCTGTACAAATAAAGCAATTTACAAAAAAAGTCCCATCTAGCTAAACTCCAAATGCTTTTGCTTCTTAAAATAGGTCAAGTTGAATTCCACAAGTTTGCATTATAAAGCATGATTATGTTCATAATTAAAAAAAAAAATATATATATTAAGTTGATTCATGAAACATACAAAAGTAATATAAAATGTAGAATATTTGCACGAGACTTGGAGATCATTTGGTCTGCATCTGTAGTTTACGTTGTTAATGATTGGGAAATCGAAATCAGTTATTAATAAGTAAGATTTACGAAATGTTTTCTTAAAATTCTCCTGAGAATTATCTAGAAATTTACCTCGTATTGCCGTTGAAACTATTCTAAATTTTCCATTAAAACTTTTCCCCCTCTTCCTGTGCAATAATATCCTCTACACTAAATTCCAGTGGTATTCTTCGTGGAATTCCCTTGGAACACTCTTAAGAATTCACTTCGAATGCAATACCATAATAATTTCTTTGAAATTCTCATCAGAACTCTCAAGAAATTCTTCTCAGAATTTAGAATATTGATTAGAAATGGATCTGGAATCCGATCTCACAATCGTCGTGTATTTTTTTCACATCTACCTGCATATTTTACTCTGAATTCTCTTTAACCCGTTAACGCCCAAGTCGTTTTTGGCTTCCAGACAATGCGTGATTTTTTTTCCAGGAGTAACCCAAGGATTATTATCACATTATTTGAAAACTAGCTGTTAAATATATTCCAAGGATCATTCTAGTGATATTGAAAACATAATTTACGTTCCCAATTTCTGTTAAGACATGAAAAAAAGAAAAAAAATCGATCTATAAGTAGAACACCGGGCTTTAATGGGTTAAAGTTCACATATAGCTCTTCTTATAATTATTCTGGAG